TCTGCCACAGTCATTTTCCCCTATTGGTGACACTTGGGGTTTCCACTCTTTTGCTAATGCTGTCCAGGCTGCAATGAAGTCTTTGCCTGCGTGTGAGAGGGATGGGCAGGGAGGAGGAAAAGCATGTGCATGTTACAAACTCGGGCTTTGAACCCACACTGCTTGTGCTCAAACCCAGCTCCTTTGCTTACAGGTTGGTGACCCGGGGCGGGTGGCACGACCTCATCAGCCTCAGCTTTCTCGCTGTGCAGTGGGGAAATAATAGTAAAAAATAAGATGATGCCTGCAAAGCACTTAGCATAGCCCTGGCACACGGTAGGTGCTCATTAAAGTTAATTATAATAATACTTCTGCTGCTGATAAATAAGTGGGTGTGAAATTTTTGGGTCAGGAGGTCAAAACAACATGGATTCAGTAAGGGACCGTCCAGGAGCGCTTAGCTGGCTCAGGTGGTGGAGCGTGCGACTCTTGATCTCTCAAGGTTGTGAGTTCAAGCCCCATATTAAGTGTAAGATTACTTAAAATCTTTAGGAAGGCACCTGGCTGGCTCAGTTGGTGGAACGTGTGACTCTTTTTTTAAGTTTATTTATTTGTTTTGAGAGAGAGAGGGGGAGACCACAAGCAAATGAGAGGCAAGAGAGAGAGAGAGAATCCCAAGCAGACCCTGCATTGTCAGGTTGGACCCCAACACGGGGCTCGAACCCATGAACTGTGAGATCATGATCCGAGCCGGAAACCAAGAGTTGGATGCTCAACCGACTGAGCCACCCAGGTGCCCTGGAGACTGTAACTTCTCGATCTAGGGTCTGTGAGTTTGAGCCCCACGTTGGGTATAGAGATTGCTTTAAAAAAAAAAAAAAAAAAAAGAGCAACCGTCCAAGAGGCAGCTGGATAGATGGAACTAGGGCAAGTTTTAAAAGGAAGCCTGAAAATAAAGTCATTCGTGTGTTCAAGACAACACGGATGACGTTCAAAATATAATGCTGGCGGGGAGAAGGCCTTTCTCGATGATCTCGTGGTAAAGATGGTTAGCCTGGTTAACACTTCCAGCGTGTGCCAGGCCACGTCCTATGCGGAGATGCAGCTGTCACCCATTTTACACACGGAGATGCTGGGGACCGCCCTGTCGCACAGCTCGAGCCCCCTGTCTGTGCCCTAGTCATACTGTAGAGCTTGCACCCCGAATCTGAGGCCCTTTGCACCTGCCCCTCAGCGAAGCCTAAGGGAGAAGGCGGAAAAGTCCAGCTACTGGACACTTGAAACTTCTGTCTGGCTGGGTGAGCAACTCCAAATACTCCTCTCCAAAGACAAACCGGGAAAGATTATTCACAGCACATTGACAACTCTTAAAATCAAAAGAAAATGAACTCACGCATAAGAAACAGATCCAGGGCAGGCCAAGGAAGGAGTGAGGGAAACGTACAGTATATATAACAGAAAGATGCTCAGTGTCCTTCATTCCCTAATTAAAATAGCCATGAGCCGTCAGTTCCTGCCTGCCCAGCCCCTGGCCCAGAGGGCCAGGTGCCCTGTGGACCCAGAAGCCCGCCTTCTGGCAGACAGGTGGGTGGTTGAACCCAAATCTTGCTTGGCTTTGTATTCCATAAGGAATAAAGGGAGAGAGAGACAGAGAGAGGAAGGGGCACTCTGTCTGCTTCCTGGTGTCCAGAAATTTCTGTCTTGTGATCAAGTTTGACCTAGCCAGGGATGGCAGAACTCGAAAGTGGAAACGGTGCCTGGAGCCCCAAGTTGCATGGGAGCAGAAGCCAGGCCTTGGGGTGGGGGGTGGGGATGCATATTTGCGGCTAGCTGGCCTCCTTTTAAAGCCCCAAAGGCAGGTTCCCTTTCACACTGGCTATTTATAAAAGTCCCAGGGGCAGGTTTTGCAAAAATATTTTGGACAGATGATTGCAAGCTTGAAACTCTGAATCGATTGCCACATAACCCACTGCCTTGAAGTTTCACCTAGTTTTAGGGCCAATGGAAGTGGTTTCAGACACGAGGAGTAAATAGGGAAAAACAAGATGAGATTAAAACCTTTGGGACATGTATGGATATGTGGGATAAACAACAATAGGAAAATGTTAATGGCAGAATCTAGGTTGTGGGTATATGGATGTTCGGTGACTTTTTTTTTTTTTTTTTTTTTCAAAACTGCTGTATGTTTGAAAATTTTCAAAATAAAATGTTGGAGCGGGGGGTGGAGGGGGTGGAGGGCTACTTTTTGGCAAAGTCCCAGATAGCACACCTCAGACCAAGTAGAACAGGAAAAGCCTTCTTTAAAACAGTTTTTCCCAAATTATTGCTGGGACCCAATCCGGAAAATGGGTTGCCACAAGGGATATAATTCGAACACTGTGATCAGGCCGAAGTAAAAGTTCCTTCAAGCTAGGCTGGCCCCAACCATACAGTGCGACCCCTCCCAGCTCCTGCTGGGTCCCAGAACCCAGTGACAACTTCTCTGAGCTTTTCTGTTCCCAAGCTCCCATGGTTTGGGTCAGCCCCAAGCCCTGCCCCTGGTCACCCCCGCTCCCAGCCCCCCTGCCCCACCTGGTCAGCCCCAAGGACTCCAGCACTCTTCCCTGACAAGCTTCCCTGGGAGGACAGTCCTCTCCACACCCTCCTGGCTATGGGGGCCACCCCAGGGGGGGTTGCTCAGGCATGACACCTGAGAGCTAAGCTCTGCCGACAGGGAGGAAAGACTTTGGGAAAGTAGTAGAGTGAGTCCCATTCCTACAGGAACACAGACTGGAGGGGGCAGGGTGGAAAGGACCATCTTTACAGAGCAGGCCCGACCACAGGGGAGTGGGGAAATGCCCTGCAGACACATCCTTTCCACAGAAAATGACACTGGCATATTTACAAGGAAGGTCTTCTTAAAAAAGAATTAAGTGATATTCTGGAGTGACAGAAAGCCAGATTTAAAAGTTGAACTCGGAACGTGACCTCAACTTAGTCAAAACACCAAAGGGAAAACCAGAAGGAAATGCACTGACATATTAACAGCAGGGCTAGGGTTTGGTGATGGTCGTGGGTGGTTTACATTTTCTTTTCTGCGCTGTCCTGTTTTCCAGATTTCTATAAGTGCGTGTATAACTTCTATCAGAAATAATGAATCACTTTTTTTTTTTTTTTTTTTTTTTTACAACGGGGAAGTGCTCCGTTATGGTCGTAGTGTGCTTGAAGCAGATTTCAGGGGCTGAGTGGGGCTCTGCAGGTGTCCGAGTACCGATCTCCACTCATACGTTGGTTGAGGATTGGAAATGTCAGTCAGGGACTGAGGGCGGCCTGAGTTGGCCGGGCCCCTTGCTGCCAGGAAGGAGGTGAGCTGCCCGGCGCTGGACATGTTGGTCCAGCCTCACCCTTTCCAGGCCAGTAAAAGAGGGCGTTAAACTGCGAGGCAGAAACGGGAACAGTCTCCTTAAACACGGAGTTCTCTAGGCCTCATCAGGAAAGAGCTCCCCAGGAGTACAACCTCACCATAGCTATGACCTAAACTCGTACTCTTGACTTTTTTTTTAACCAGTTTTTAAAATTTTCCAAGAGAATGTTTCGTTTCGTTTTGTTTTGTTTTGTTTTGTTTCGGTAGGAAAGCTGCAAATAGGGAAAATACAAAAAAAAAAAAAAAAATCACATACATCATCACCCAAATAGAACTCCTGTTATATTGGTATACACATTTCCAGACTTCTCTCAAAATCAGGATTATACTGTAAACGATATTTCATAACCTCTCTCCATCTTTTGTTTGGAAAGATTTCAAACCTGGGGCGCCTGGGTGGCTCGGTTGGTCAGGCGTCCGACTTCAGCTCAGGTCATGATCTCACAGTTCATGGGTTCGAGCCCGTGTTGGGCTCTGTGCTGATGGCTTGGAGCCTGGTGCCTGCTTTGGATTCTGTGTCTCGCTCTCTCTCTGCCCCTCCCTCACTTGCACTCTGTCTCTCAAAAATGAATTTAAACGTTTAAAAAAAATTTTTTTTTTAAAGAAAAATTTCAAACCTACGTAAAAGTTGCAAGTAGTACAGTGAACCTGCACCTGTGGTCACCGATGGTGAACATTTTGCCTGGCTGTCTGTCTGTCTCTTTCTGTGAGTATTTTCCTGGGTTTCACTGGTTGTTGACATTTTCTCTTCCTCTCTCTAAATGTTTTCCTGGTCTGTGCTTCAAAGTAAGCTGCAGACATCACGATGCCTCACCCTTCAATTCTTCAGCTGTGTCTCCTCAGAATAAGTCAAGCCGTCAAGGGTCAAAGCAAGAAACTGCCATGTAAAGAACAGCCAAACGCTCTTGGTGAATCTCTAATCAGGGGAAATGCCCAATGACCCCTCCTTCACTGTCCTCCCCCCGAGACCCACAGACCATCTGCCTCTCCTGATGAATGGGCTGCCTCCTTCCAGGAGATACTGAAAGCCCCCCCAGGCACCCCCACAACCGGAGAACCACAGGCAGCAGGGAAATGCAGCCTTGGGGATTCACGGCGCCACCTTGCGGTGGTGTTTAGAATTTCCCCAGGCACGAACTGGAAGTAACCCAGCATCCTTCTGGAACCTACCATTTACTGAGCGACCACCCAATGCCCAGCACTAGATGTGTATTATCTCTGGAATACCCACAAAACCTGAGGGCTGGGCACCATCAAAGTGTCCAGCCTGGCACACTGCAGGTGTTCAACACACCGGTTTTGAACAAAGGAGGAAACTGAGGCTCTCGGAGGTGAAGGCACTCACCCGAGGTCTCTCAGTTAGGAAGGGGTGGCACTGGATTTCAAACCTGAGTATCCTGGCCATTCCACTTCCTTCCTCTTGAGGCAAGAGTAAATAGAAAAAGGGGAAATGGTCGTAAAGGGATATCGTGGGGACTGGAGAGATCACAGAGTCTCTGAAGACCCTGGAAGGAAGGGGCCACCGAAGTCCCCCCCCCCAACCCCAGGAGAATCCAGGGCTCCGCTGGTAACCTCCTCCTGCCAAAAGTGCAATCATGCCAGAAACCGTCAGCAAGAATTTGCAAACCACCGAGATGAGTGGTGGATGGATTAGAAGAGACACCTGCTTCTCCAGAGCAGACAGAGCACAGCTCCTTATGCTTTTACAGCAGAAAGGGCCACAGGCAGAGTCCCCACGGGCCTGGGGGTCACAGAAAGGGGAGAGACGTGTGGCCGAACCATTTGTCCAGACGACGGTTAAAGCCAAGGGGGCTTGGACCAGGGGCTGGTGACCAGTTTGTATAAAGGGCCAGATAGTAAATGAGGTGGGCTTTATGGGTCGTGTGGTCTCTGTCACCACTGTTCAAGTCTGCTGTTGTAGCACACAAGCAGCCATGATGAGACATAGCAAATGGGCTGAACCTGGCCCATGACTTAAGCCCCTGTCTCCCATGACTGGTGTCTGATCATCCAAATACAGTTTTACAAAACCAAAGAATCCAGAAAGCAGGAGGACAAGACAGTCGTGACGAGGAGAAAATAGCGACTGGTAGGCAGTCCTTCTTCTTTACCAGCCTGAATCCGGGGCTCCCTTTCCTGCCAACCCAAACGGGAAATTGGAGTGTGGCTCATGGGCTACAATATGGCGGGGTCCCCCACGGAAGGGGCAGTCGAAATGCCGGACGGATCTGACCATCGAACACACTCTGCTAGTCCTCAACCCAGACACAACCCCAGGAGCAGGGATGGGAAGCAGACCCGGGACTCTACCTCTCCTGGAGGAAATTCTCGCATCTTTTCTCCAAGGGCAACACCTGGGCGAAGGCCATGCTATCGGTCATGTCCGTTTGAGGAATGGTGCAAAGGTTGCAGATGTTTTCCAGGAGCGGGTAGGCCTCGAGATTAAAACAGAAAATAGAATTCTGGATGTCCTTGGCGTTGTCGGATTCAATTTCGTCAGGATGGTCTCCTGAGATGAAACAAAACACAGCGTTCTGTAGAGGGATGACCTTCTCTGTGGGCTGGGTGGGCAGCTGGGAGCAGCTCTCTGCTGGTAAAGGCTGGGCCATCGGGGATGAGCTGTGAGGGGCTCCCTTGAAGGGGGCCTCAGGAGTCTCTCTGGAATCCTGTGTTTTAAATTTTTTTTTTCAATGTTTATTTATTTTTGGGACAGAGAGAGACAGAGCAAGAACGGGCGAGGGGCAGAGAGAGGGAGACACAGAATCAGAAACAGGCTCCAGGCTCCTAGCCATCAGCCCAGAGCCCGACACGGGGCTCGAACTCACGGACCGCGAGATCGTGACCTGGCTGAAGTCGGACGCTTAACCGACTGCGCCACCCAGGCGCCCCTGGAATCCTGTGTTTTAGCTAAGTGCCCCGTGAGGGGCTAAGCAGCAGTGTCCTTTTGGCCTGTGGAGCAGGGTTGAAGAGCAGGGAAGAGATTGGGGGCATCACCCCGTGCTTTGGGAAGGGAGGGAGAAGGTCAGGCAAATAGCAGCCCCCAGAGCCCCCCTCCCATACCTCGGAGCAGGAAACACGGGCGGTGCAAAGACACGACAAACATAGGCGTCCAGGGCACTGCCAGATGGTAGGTTCTGGGTGGAGCAAAGGCACAGATGATCTGAGGCTTGGCCACGTCCATGAGCTGCACAGAGCCATTCCTGGAAAAGGTCAGCACCTGGGAAGCAAAGGGATGGCAACGGGGACTTCTCTGTCACCCCCGTTTGGAATAAGAGAGGCGGCTGGACATCCAGGCCAGCAACAGAGAGAACAGATTTGCTCGGGGAGCAGAGAAACATGTGTGTTTACTTCTCCGGTGTCCCCAGCAGCAACAGGCCCTTTTCCAGGTGCCGTGTCTGATGCTGGGTGGCGCTCCCCACTCCCGCCCAGGCTTCTCTTCTGGCTCACCAGCATCCCTGTCCAGGAGCCGGCCCTCCACGTGGCCGGACGCAGTGCCGCCCTCGGCACACGTATGCTTTCCTCCCCATCCTCGGAGACCCCGCTCCATCCCACTGCCCTTCCTGGCCCGGGTTCGGAGACCGGCCTCTCTCCTGCCTGGCTCCTTCCTCCCTGTAGGTGAACCTGCTAGATGCGCCTGATCGAATCGTCCTCCAGCTGCCACACCACCTCCCCGCCCCTCACACTCCAACACCTGAGAGTGCGTCCTCACCTTCTCTGCCCCGTCCTGTCGCTTCCTCCCGAAAGCAGCCCCCCGCCCCCACTGACTTCTGCAGGCTGAGGTGGTGACCCCTGTCTCTGTTCTGTGGCATCCAGGGCCCAGTGCATCACAGCCTCTCTCGTCTTCCAGGGCAGCTGCGTGGTGATTCGTCTGCCTTCCCAGCTGAACCGTGTGATCTGCGAGGGCGGCGGCTTGCTCTTTCGTCCCTGTGCGCCCCAAAGCTAGTCCGGTGCCTCGCACTTGACAGGCCTTCAACAAACAGTCTTTGAAGGGAAAACGAACACGCTTGCTGAAGAGGAGTGAGGGGCGTGAGGAACCTACCATGCCAGGTAAGGCTGGGACTGGGGCCACTGCACAGATGGCTTCGTCCAGGTACTTTACCGGCCTGTGGGGAGCCAGACACATACACATTCGTCCTGGAAGGAATTAAGGCTGTGCTATCCTCTCCTGGCACGCATCTAGGAGACACTCTTGTAAATAAGCATCGGGACACATGTCAGAGATGGTTCATAGTAGCAGATGCAGGGAACAGTCGCATTACCCACTGGTAGGAGAATGCCTTGTTGTGACATATTTATTATACGATGGGATGCAGTAGAGCCGGGAAGATAACAGACCCGGCGCTGCATTCACCAACATGTGCGACTCTCCTGAACAAGGCTGCAGAGCAAGTTACGGAATAAACAGCCCCGAGAAACAAGCTGGAGGATACACAGCATGGGAGTCCCTTTACGAATTTCCCAAATAGGCACAGCTAAACAATGCGTTACTTGGAGATGCGTGTGGCTAATTCTTACGGGAAAGCGAAGGAATGGATGATGAATTTTGGAAAATGACACAGTCGATTGAACAGGAAATCGGCCGTGATATTTGGCAGCGACTCCCATCAAACAGTGGAGTCGGTTTCTCCACTGCCTGACTGCGGGTGTGGCCACATGACATGCTTCGTCCACTGTGACGTGAGCAGAAGCTTGGAGAGTGTACGTTGAGGTTGCCCTCGCTTGCTGAGGGGACCCCTTAGGCTGTGGGGTGATGGAGGCTGAGACGGCCCGCAGGAGCCACCACAGGGAAGAGAACCAAGTGTCCCGGCCAACGGCCACCCAACTGCCACCTATGCAAGTGAGGCTGTGCCAGACCATCCGGCCCCCAGCCCAGCTACCAGAGCCTGAGCAAGGCCAGTGGAAGAACTGGCCCAAATTGCTGGTCTGCGAGATCAGGGGCTACACATTGACTTGTTTTCTGAAGCCATTAAGTTGTGGAATGGTTTGTTATATACAGCGACGATTACTAAGGGGGTCACCTCTGGAGAGGAGAGAAGGGTGTGACCAGGGACAAGCACACAGCCTTAACTGAATTGGAGATGGTCTACTTCTTTTTTTTAATGTTTGTTTATTTTTGAGAGAGGGAGAGAGTGAGAAAGAGAGAGAGAGAGAGGCAGAGAGGGGGGAAGAGGGAATCCCGAGCAGGCTTTGCACTGTCAAAGCAGAGCCCAATGCAGGACTCGAACCCATGAACTTGAGATCATGACCTGAGCCGAAACCAAGAGTTGGATGCTTAACCAACTGAGCCACCCAGGCGCCCTGGAGATGATCTGTTTCTGAAGGTTCATGATGGGTACAGGGGAGTTTCTCCCTCCCTCCCTCTCTCCCACTGCCCACTCTCTGTCTCTCTCTCTCTCTGTGTATATATATAAACACCCAAATACATATACACCTACATATATACTATACATAGTGTATATATAGCTGTATCCTAAATATACACAAGTATATATTGTATAGCTCATTTGCACGCATAAAGTATTTTCACAACTTCAGAAAGAGACTCTGGAGACAATTTAAAAAAGAAAGAAAGCCTCGAGGAAACTGATAAAAGGCGATTTTGGCGGAAATGACAAATGACGTGAAAGCTGTCATTTGTGCTGTCGTGCAATTTTGTGAGACAAGTTTTACACGTGCACATAAAAAAAGACGGTGGGGACTTGGGAGCTCACAGGGAGGGTGCTGACTACAGAGCCAGGGGACTCCAGCTGGGGAGCTGGTCACTTTCGGCTGGCCGGTCGTTTGCCCCGTCCTGCGCTCAAGCCACTGACCTCTCAACCAGCACACTGATGGTGGGTTCTTGGGTCCCCCTGGCTGTCACCAGATGGACAGAAGAATCTGTGCACAGCACCACACACTTCATGCGGGATTTCAAGGGCCCCTCAGGATACACGTTCTGTCCCTGGTGGACTAAGTGGTATTTGAGGAAGTGAACACTCTGGCAGGAACATCCCTTGGGAAGGGCGACGACCCCAAGAGGGAAACCTGGAGAAACAATGGCACAGGCAGGTCAGTGAAAGGGGGAGCGCTCATGCAGCCTGGGCGCAGGGTCTGTGACCAACAGGCACGTGAGGGGTGTGAAGGCAAGACCCGGCAATGAGAGCCTTCTGGAAGTGAAGCCAGAAAACCCCAGTGCCCAGTGGGAGAGAAGAGCCCCCCCTTCTAAGTATGCAGGGGGGTGGGGGATGGGGAAGAGCCCCGGGGAGAGGGGCCAGAGCCAGTGCTGGGACAGAAGGGACACTGCCCTGCCAGGTACGGAACCACAGCTGACCGCGGTGGGTCAAGGTATACCAGAGAGGGGGCGCCTGGGTGGCGCAGTCGGTTAAGCGTCCGACTTCAGCCAGGTCACGATCTCGTGGTCCATGAGTCCGAGCCCCGCGTCGGGCTCTGGGCTGATGGCTCGGAGCCTGGAGCCTGTTTCCGATTCTGTGTCTCCCTCTCTCTCTGCCCCTCCCCCGTTCATGCTCTGTCTCTCTCTGTCCCAAAAATAAATAAAAACGTTGAAAAAAAAAATTAAAAAAAAAAAAAGGTATACCAGAGAGAAGGTGGTTCTCTGAGAAGGGCTTTTTTATGAGAAGGGTGTATATGTGTGTAGTCAAACGATATCCAGGATGTATCAGTATCCAGACAAATGAAAACAACCTATTGAGCAAGTGAATGTGAAATTATGAGCATTCTTCAGCCCTTTAAGTATCTTTCACTCTTGTAAGAAGACTGGGTGAGGAACCAAAATTCAAGAGGGCGCGTAGGGATGTTTATCTCCCCACCATGTGGGCCGAGTGCCGGCTAAACGGAAACCACCACCGAATCCTTCAGATGGAAACAGCCAAGGGAGGAAGGCACCTCACTGACCTGACAGAAGGCTCCCCGAGATGGCCAGCAGACAGGGCCCTCTCTCTGGTTCTCACCAGCGCGCCGGCTGGGAAGGCTGCCCACCTCTACTCTCAGAGGAAACACCCATCCAATTGTACAATGACAAACCCAGCGATTCAGTCATCACTTCTAAAAAAGTTTGGTAAGAGGGAGCCTTTCCCTCAGAGGCTGATCGATCGACTTAGGGAAACTAGACACCACTGATTTTCTGCACCTGCAGAGCTGGACCCGGGATCCTGGGACTCCAGGACTCTAGCAAGGTGCCACCCACCCAGCATGGCTACTGGTCTTGCACTGGCCACTGTACAGGTCTCTTAGCTTCAATAGCAGTGGGCTTCCTGCTGACCGAGGTGGGGGTGGGAGAGCAGGAAGACTTACTTAGTTTGAGAACTTGGGGGCGGGTGGGGGAGGGCCAGGGCTGCCCTACCGTCACATCCTGTGCTCCACGTCACCTCCCTGGAGTGTGATAATGAGGTAACTAACAGTCTTACTTCCAGGACCCGCTCCAGTGCGGGGCACGGGCACAGGGCACAGGGCGAGCGCTCAACCAGTACACGGGGATTGGGAAGGGTCAGCACTTATCGTGTTCAATAAGTGACTGAATGAATGAGGGGAAGGCGGGACCAGCTCCCCACATTGACTTAAGAACACAGAGTAACTACCAGCAGGCTCAGAGCCTGCAGGAAACTCCAGAGCTCCCCGGGCTCTCATAATCCAGGGGTCTCATAATCCAGGGGTTAGGCAGAGGCGGGGGCGGGGGGGGGTGCTCACCTTCTGCCAGGTCCCACAGCGTGAGCACGCCATCCTCGCAGGCCAGCACCAGGTAGGAACAGCAGCAGCTGAGCTGAGAGACAGCAATGGGTGCAGCACAGGGCCACACACCCTCTGGGTCTAGAGGGGAGGACGGCACTCACTCGGCCGCCCCTGCCCCAGCCGCTGTACCCGCCCACCACCTCCACGCGCACAGCTCACGGCCCAGACTAGTCTGCCCGGCTGGGACACGGGCAGGGGTACCTGCTGGGCTCTCTGCAATGCTACCTCCTTAGGACAGAAGAGCAAGTCCCAGTCCTCTTGCACTGACGCTCACACTGAATGAGTACTTGCCAGGCGCTAAGCACCGTGGTAAGCACTGTATGTGCACCCTTTCGGTTAATTCTCGCAAGGGTCTGGTGAGATGAGTCCTGTTGGCACCCCTATTTCACAGATGAGGAGACTGAGGCAGAGAAGCCACCTGCCCAAGGTCAGAGCCAGTCAGGACAGAGGTGGAGATTAGAAGCCACACTGCCTGAGAGGGTGTTGGGAGGAGAGAAAATTCTTCCTCTGAACACTTTTAAACATGAAAGTATAATCCCTTTTTAAAATTTTTTAACAATGTTTATTTTTAAGAGAGAGAGAGACAGACAGACCGTGAGTGAGGGAGCGGGAAAGAGAGGGAGACACAGAATCCGGAGCAGGCTCCAAGCTCCGAGCTGTCAGCACAGAGTCCGATGCATGGCTCGGACTCATGAACCATGAGATCGTCACCTGAGCCGAAGTCAGACACTTAACCGACTGAGCCACCCAGGGGCCCCAAACATTAAAGTACAATTCTAAAGAATAATATCCATGTACAGCTCAAGGAATTACCACAAAGTGAACCTGCTCACGTAACTGCCTCCAAGAATTTGTAAAAACCAAAAAAGACCACGTAAGTGGTGGTCCTAAGTGTCTTTCAATTTCAAAAAGCTTTCACATATAGAAACCCTCTGGATTTTGCGATCCACGGCAAGCACGTGCAGTCAGCAGGGATGGATGGTGTGATGAATGAGCTCTGTGTTTCAGATGAGAAAACAGGGTTGGGGCACGCGGTGACTGGCCTGGGGCTACACACCTTGTGGGCCTTCGTTGCGCCGGGGCCGGATCCGGCCCCTGATGCCAAGCCTCTTTTTGCCTCAGCTGCCAAAGGAGCCCTGTGGACCTGACTAGGCTTTGTCCCTATCGACCTATTCTCTTGGAGAAACGGGACCGCCCAGAGACAGAGCCTTGCGCTCACACCACAGGCCCTGAGCCACCTGCTTCTGCCTGCACAGCTCTGGTCCCCTAAAGTGACGTGTCAGTCACGTGCTCTCAGCTAAGCTGGAGAAGGACACGTTCTCAGGCAACTCCCATCTCAGCAGCCAAGTACCGGCTTTATCCTTCAGAGTTCGGTTAAGTGAATAGAGGAAGAAGTTGTGGTTTCCGGTCCAGTGTATGCCAAGGACACAGGCTACCCCTGGGAAAGAAGAGAGGAAAGGGGCATCACGTCAGGCAGCTGGGTACCCCCGGGTTTGTACGGAAAGTGTTTGCCCAAGCAGAAGTCGGTTTGAGGTCAAAAGTGGTGCGTTCTAAGGGGCAGCGCCCAGCAGAGGGGTGAACCTCCCGGGGAGGAGGGCTGAGCATCCCTGGGAGGGCTGTTCCCACGGCCAGCTCGCCTTCCCCGGTGAGGAGGACGGTCACGCTGCCCCTCAGCGGTTTTCACGTCGTCTAGATAATTCATGTCCTCTTGGCTGTCATTGTTTTAAATAGCATGTTCTACACAGTGAGTTCATGTTCAGAAGCAGCCTGGCAGGATATGTGCTCAGACCCTCCTCTGTGGTGAGTCACTGCCTGAAGACAGCACGGCCTCCGTTATCAGGGAGTCTGGGCTGGGGCACCATGCGTCCAGACACCGTTAAGCGGCGACCTACTCTCCACCTCATTGCCTCCCACCGTGCAGGGGTTGCTGGGGTGCTCCCCGAGTGGACCACCTGCCCAGGACAGCCACCTGCATCGTGTTCATTTACCCGAGGGGCTCTTGACGTCCGCTGGCATGGTGGTGACGCGGCCAGGAAGGAGGAAGTGGAACGTGGCCATACTGGGGGAAGAAAAAGAGACACGAGTCAGCCATGGCAGGCTCCTTGGCAAGGAGACACCCTGGCAGAGTCATGGTACTAAAACCAGAAATGGGTAGTTAGGACGGACCTTCCCAGGGATACAGGGCCATGAGCTAAGTCACATGGGATGTGCCGGCCCTGGTGGCCGCAGACCTGGGAAGTTGGTGAGGGCAGGGCAGGGCAGGGCAGGCAGAGGCGCCGGAGTCACTCCCGGGCTGGGAACGGCACCCGGCACCCAGAAGAACCTTCTCTGTCCTTGGGGAAGATCCCCTAGTGACCAGACTTGGCTGCCGTGAACAAATGCTCCCTTATGCTGGGGGCAATCCAACCAGGGTGTGCTGATACGTCTGTCCTTAAGAAAACAACAAACCAATTTCCTGATGTCTATATAGAGTTTGTAGTTTCTTGTGGTATAGACTCCCACTACAGACAGACATTACCCGCAGGTTAACAGCCAGCCAGGCAGCATGCCCCTGAACCTCGCTGGGGCCCAGTTCAGGGCTCAGGTAGCTGCTAGGAGGGTGTAGCCCTAGGAGTTTGTGTCCTGACATGAGAAAATTCAAGGTGCACTTGGCAGCAAGATGAGGGGTTTTTCTTCCTCTGTGAAGCAAGAATGTTCCTGGCTCCTGAGCTCCACGGTAGCTGTGAAGAGAGCTAGTTCCTAAAACCAGCTCCACCAGATCCTTCAAAGCCTTGGGCTCAGTTTTTACAGCCACAGCAGGGAATTCCTGAGCCCATCTGCTGCCTGAGGTTACAAAGTAAGGTATTTTAGTAATTCTGCATTAATATATTACATTGAGAAAGACTGGATGGGAATGGAGGAAAATGTGAATAGTGGCGACTTTTCTTTCTGTCTTCAGGATCTTCTGTGTTGTCTAGATAATCAGGAAAAAACTTAAAAAAAATTTTTTTTAATGTTTATTTTTGAGAGAGAGAGAGAGACACAGAGCGTGAGCGGGGGAGGGGCAGGGAGAGAGGGAGACACAGAATCCAAAGCAGGCTCCAGGCTCTTAGCTGCCAGTACAGGGCCCTGATGTGGGGCTCGAACTCACAAATTGTGAGATCGTGACTGGAGCCGAAGTCAGCCGCTTAACCAACTGAGCCACCCAGGTGCCCCATCAGGAAAAAAGTTTTTAAAGAGAAGATATACATAAGATTGTAAAACGAACTCGACTTCTTCTCCTCTCCATAGATGTCTATTCCCTCTTTGAAATCCACATGATCAGCCTTTGTTCTAACTCTCTTTGAACAATCTCCACATATCTTTTCAAAAAATCCGAAATTCTCGGGAAAATCTCCCAAACCAGAAACAGCTTTTAATTCAAGTGCTTGGGTTGATTCCTGTGTGTGCCCTGAGAGGAGACACTCTGCCCAACCCCCACCCCCCACCCCCCACCCCCCACCCCCGGCTCGAGGGGAGGGAGGAGGAGGGAGCCGGGCTTCTTTCCTGCTCACCTGAGCTGCTCCTCCCCCCACTGTCCGTCCAGGTACTTCTTGAACAAGGCTTTGAAGATGGCCTCCTGCTGCTCCCACTGAGTGTCCTTGATGAAGTGGTTCTGCCCTGAGCCCAGCCCATAGCAGTCCTCAATCTTTGCAAAGACTTCCAGGGGGCTTTTAAATGTGGTACCTAGGTTGAAAAGATCCCAGAATTGGTCAAACCATGGGACTTCCCCCTTCCTGATTTTCCTTTCCTTCCTCCACACTTTCCAGTTTCCTGCAGAATCTCTAGTCCTCAGAAATCCATCTGGGAAGCCAGCGTTCAGTCTTCTCCCCGCCTCTTTCCTTGCCAGGCGGCTCAGCGAACACAGGCTGAGGGCAACCGCCCTCCCCCCTCCTCCTCCTCCTCCAGCCTCACCATCACTTCCTGTTTCCAGATGCCCGGATCCCCAAACGAGGCCAAAGAAAAGTTCACGAGGTCACTAGAGACCTTAGATCACCGTTGCCATCTTCCCAGCCCAGCAAGGCCCCAAATGTGCCAGTTGCCATCACTACGGAGCCGCTGCTGCAGGGCCCACAGAAACAGACGGTCCTGGCCTCTACCTATGTTGACGTCTATCCAACTACCTTCCTTCAACCATCTCCTTTCTCTGCCAGTCACTTTTCTTACCATTCCCCTTCCCCCCCAAAACCTTTCATTTCCTTCTTTTTTCAACTGTTCCTAAATCTACAGTAAAACTGGGTCATTTATTTTCTAGGTTCCCACCCCAGCTTTCAGATGGAGGGTGCCCAGGAGGCCCCCGGTGCCCAGGTCTCCTTGGCCAGAAGCAATCATTGTTATTCATTTCTCACATAAGTTCCTATAGGGAGACCACCTTTGTATAAACAAATGGTAGCACAGGACACACTACTACCCCCCCAAGTGTGGTTCCAAGATGAGCAGGAATCTGAGGGGCTCAACCGGAACTTGTTAGAAATGCAGATTCTCAGGCCCCAACCCCAGCCTGCAGAAACACAAACTGTGTGGCTGGGGCGCAGCATTTTGGGTTTTAACAAGTTCTCCGGCTGAGTCCGATCCAGCTAAAGTTTGAGAATTGCTCTTTTACACCAGCCCCCTTGCATTTTCCACTCACAAATAGCTTGGAGATTGCTTCCTTTCAGTGCTACAGACCTTCCTTATTGTTGCTTATTTTCATTTACTAAACCTTTTTCTTACTGTGAAATAGAACACGTTCAGCAAAGAGCATTAAAAAATATATATCTTGGGGCGCCTGGGTGGCTCAGTCGGTTAAGCGTCCGACTTCGGCTCAGGTCATGATCTCGCAGCCCATGGGTTCGAGCCCCGCGTCAGGCTCTGTGCTGACAGCTCAGAGCCTGGAGCCTGGTTCGGATTCTGTGTCTCCCTCTTTCTCTGACCCTCCCCTGTTCATGCTCTCTGTCTCAAAAATAAATAAATGTTAAAAAAAAATAAAAAAAAAATATATATATCTTTATAAATTATTACAAAGCAAATGTCTGTCTCCGCTCAGGTCCAGAGACAGAACATCACCTGCTCCCTGGAAGCTTCGCAGGGGCCCGTCTCCAGTCACAACCTCCTGGCTAGAGCAGCACCCATTCTCTTGCTTTTCCATAAGCACTGCAGTAAGTTTGTTTTACCTTTGCTGTCTAAATGTGCATCTAAACGAAAAAGCTCTGCTTGGCCTGCTTCTGAGCGTTACACACGGATGGAATTATAAAGTTAACTCTGTGTCTGCCCTCTTTTGCTTAATATTGTGAGATTTGTCCATTTGGTTGTGGATGGCTGCAGTTTGTTCCTTTTTATTGATAGTATTCCATCAAGTGAATACATGTTCTCTTGTTGATGGACATTTCGGTTGTTTCATGATTGGGGCTATGGAGAATCATGTCACTGTTACCATTCTTGTACATGTCTCCTTGTACGCATTTGCTTGCACACCTGTCGGGTATATACCTAGGAGGAGGGTGACCACTTCACCCTGGTTTGCTCAGAAGTTCCCTAGGTTTAGCTCTGAAAGCCCCACATCCCAGTAGACCAACCCCTCAGCCCCGGGCAAGCTGGTACGGTCGGTCACACTGCCTCCGAGTGTAAGTGCTGGGTCTCAGGGTATAAATTATCGTCCACATCACTGGATCAAACCAAACTATTTTCCAAAGTGGTTGTGCCGATTTTCATTGCTAACTGTAGTGTACGGGAGGCCTGCTTATGATACATCCTCACCAAGTTGGTATGGCCCGCCTCTTTTAAATGTTGCCCTCCTGGTGGGTGTGGAGTGGTAGCTCATTATGGTTTTAATTTGCATTTCCATGATAACTAATGATGTTGAGTACACACATTCATCTGTTTATTGGCCATTTGAATAAGCTCTTGCCTGTTTTATACTGGATTATCTCTTTTTCTTAATAAGTTGTAGGAATTCTTTATATATTCTCAGTAGGGACCATTCCTAAGTTTTATGTGTTTTGCAACTATCTTCTCCCACTATGTGGCTGCTCCTTCATGCTTTTAATGATGTCTTGGGACCACTAGAAGTCCTTAATTTTAGTAGCCAAATTTGTCAAATTTTTCTTTTATTGTAAGTGCTTTTTGTGTTTTGTTTAAAAAGTCTTTTCCGGGGCGCCTGGGTGGCGCAGTCGGTTAAGCGTCTGACTTCAGCCAGGTCACGATCTCGCGGTCCGTGAGTTCGAGCCCCGC